AGTGATAAGTATTAGTAATAGGTAAAAGTTAATATTGAGTAATGGGCAATAAGGTTATAATAGGTAACATAAAAGGTAATATTGAATAATAGGTAATATCTATATTATGAAGTTGCCATAGCAATTGTAGAAAATTAGATTGAAAATATAAGTAAAGATTAAGCATAGTAATTAACTTTAATTTAATTATTATCTATCATTAATGATATTAATTTCAGCAGTATAATATACATCAAAACCTTTCTTCTTTTTCTCTTTCTTCTAACCTTGATAGTTATCATAATTAATTGGCAAAAGAAAAAAATGAGAAAAAAATTGAGGAAATTTTTGAATTATTATTAATACGGTATCAAACAATATCCTTTCCTTATCTTTTTAACCAATAAATACATTTATTTTATTGGAATTATAATTTTTGAATTATTATTTATTAAAATAATTTTTGAATTATTATTTTCTTTATTAAATACATTTCATTTATTTTCCATATCTTTTTAACCAATAAATGTCATAGATATGCTAAAACAAAAAAAATCGATTTTCCGAAAGTTTTTTAATTTAAATTAAAAATTGAATTTATTAATAAACAAAACTTAGCTGAATTTATTTGTTAAATAAAATTTAAATAACAAAATGTTTTTATCTTATTTTTTTTTTTAGAAAAAAAAATTCCATATTAAATTAAAGGTATCGGTTGGGCATTAACATGGTTAGCCGGTGAACGATTATTTATACGATCATTAACAGCTGCTCAAAATTTGATTTATTTATTTGCATCAATACGAAAACGTTTGGATTGGGCAATTGATTGTGATCATAGTTATAATGATCAATTCTGCATTGAATTATTACGGATGAATGTTTCACATGGAAAAAATGCAACATCAACCGGATAATAATTGGCCAGCACAACAATTTAACAAGTTTTTCGTTTTCCGGATTTCTACCTTTTTTTTTAAAAAAAAAAAAAAATCATGTTATGCAATATTTTTCATTTTTTTTTTCATTTCATTATTTTTTCATTTTATATTTTTTGAATTTATTATCCTTTGCGAATTTCTTTTTTTTTAATTTATTTAATAAATTATAAAATAATAACAAATTATTATTTTTTATTATTTTTTAAATAAATTATTATTTGTTTTCCTTTTTTTACC